GGCATAGATGCCAAGAACAGCATGTTAAATAACCTCTATTCTTCCTGTCAGAGCTCACATCCCAGGGTTGCTAATGCCACTCACTGCCCCTCTCCTGCCACCCAGTGGCCTTGCCGGACACAAAAAAGCTAGTAACTGGGAAGCTGTTGGCCACTGCCATCATTTCTGAATCCTTTCTTTCCTGTGGGATTGAGCTGCAGCAGGCAGTGGCTCCTCACACTATAATTTTAACTCTGGCTGCCCTGCCTCTCTGTCAAAGTAGTTAGTGATCTGTAAACAGATGCTGAAAGGCACCAGGGGACCTCACCATTTAAAGGACTCCTGCAGTGAATTCTTTTGTAAAATAAATAATGGCACCCTAATTTATCTACTTTCTAAATTTGGCTCCATGGGGGTGTAAGGGCATGCCTGTGTGCTGTCGCCAGCAGACAAGCAGAGGGAAGGGAATCGAAGGTTTCTTCCTTCGCCGGCTCTCAGCCACACTCAGGATCCCCTACCATCCATCATTTCCTCTCTTGCTGACTTGTGGAAAGCGTGTGAGATGCTCAGCAAGCTAAGGCAGCTTTGCTTATGGCTGGGGTTTTGGTGACATTCTGACAGCGGAGCCTTTGATTTGGGAGGGAGAACTGATCTGGGAGCTTCTACTTCGCAGGATTTTGTATCCTTTAGAGACAGGGTCAGACATAACTAGGTTGCCAGGCCTAAACTGCCCAGTGGCCCAGGAAATAATTTGGAAACTTTTGCTAAACCACTTTAGGTATTGGTCCCTCTACAACTCGGCCATTAATTTTAAAATTAATTTTGTGCCTGTATTTTAAGCCAAGTGAGTAACCAGAAGTATAGTACAAATGGCTTCCTTCTCTCTCAGCAGAGGAACAGAAGCCAGAGCTGAGGGCAGGAGCCAAGAGTTGGTCCAGGAGCAGCAGGGGGTGATACAATAGGACCAGGGATGGGAGTAGGGTCTGGTGCCCCTCACCGTTTAAGTGGGAGCCCAGGGACAGGGATTGAAAGGAATGTGGGGGTGGAAAGGAAGGAGGCATTTCTGCTTCCTGTGGCTGCAGAGATTGGGGCATGCTGTGTCTCTGCAGAAGCTCCCAGTAGGCTCTGGTAGCCTGAGAGAGAGAGGCAGCCCTCCCACATCACTTCCCTGAATCCCCTTCCTTTCCCCCCAGTACAGTTAAACCTCTCTAATTTGGAATGTTATATTTGAGAAGATGGCTACTCTGAATAAGTGACAAAACTGAATGACAGTGTCTATTTAATGAAATGCATGTCTTCAAAATATATACAGTAAGTAAACCTCAATGAATAAGGCTTTTCTACTCGAGGCCCTCAGGGAGCATGCGTTAGTGAATAGATAGGATTGAAAAGTCTGTTTTTTTGGTATAGGTTAAATATTCCTCCTACAGACACATTTCTACTATTAATTTTCTTAGCACACCCTTTCTTCATAGATAAAGGAAAACTCAAACCCAGTATTTATTCAAATTATGAAAAAATTCCAAATCCACAGGGGTTTGGATTATTGAGGTTTTGCTGTACTGCCTCCCCTTGTTCCCTTAACACAAAGTTCCTACCTTGGATTGGGGGTGGGCCGGGAGAAGGCTCCAACACGAGGAGGGTGGGCTGGGAAGAAGATGCAAGGGTTTGGGGTGGGGGTAGGAACTTGCTTCTTTTGAACTGGTGTCCTGGTGTGACCCTGGGTTGAAGGCCTCTGTTAGGAGTCTGGGGTAAGAGTCTCTTCTCCCTGATCCCAGAAGATGTAACTTCTACTGAAGGTGAGACACAAAATAGGAGGGGATGTGGGGGTTGTCCTGGGAAAGAGGATGGGATCTGGCTAATGGAGCGGGCTGGCTATGGGGGAGGCCACTGTTAGGGGGCTGGCACCCAGGCCCCTTCGAAGGGTCTCAATAAGTCCGCGCTCTCCTCTTTGGTGTCTTGCAGGAGAGGCAGCTTCCCCCCTTGGGTCCAACAAACCCGCGTGTGACGCTGGCCCCACCTTGGAACGGCCTGGCACCCCCAGCCCCGCCCCCCCCCACCCCGGCTGCAGATCACCGAGAACGGCGAGTTCAGAAACACCGCAGACCACTAGCCCACCCAGCATCACAGACCTCCCTGCCCATGTACCCCACCCCGGAACAGCACCAACTACCAGGACTGGACGTCGCTGAAGGACAGCGGGATTGCCTCCCTGAATGCCTCCTTAGAGGGGCACCAGTCCCCCACCCCCACTGCACCATTTCCAGGAAGGAGAGTGGGACCCTTAGCTGTCCCTCTTTCCCTCCTGTTGGGGTGCTGCCCCCTATGACCCCCAGGGACCCTTGCCCCAGGACACCACCTACCCCACACTGATCCCTTCACTCCGGGGTGCTATCCCCATCTTCTGCCTCATCGTTCCCCTGAGCACTGGGGGACAGACCCTCGCCCCCACCCTGGGGGTGTGGCACCTCCAAACTTTCAACTTCAGGGTGATTTTTTAGCAGTAACCAGAGCTGACAATCTAACTCCCCTCCACCGCCCCATTTTGGCCTCCCCTGTCCCCCTTGTTATGGGGAGGGGACCCCAGGTGAGGGGGCCCTATTACCCCTTGATTTCTCAGGAGCGTCTGGGGGGGCTCAGCACGCACAAACTCCTTCTCCTCCTACCACTCTTAAATTTACTCCCTCCCCACCCAGAACCCAGATGGGGTGGAGGGGCCACCGGGGCAGGGTGGGGGCTGCAAGGGGGGAATGGGAGTTGTCTCCCCTTCCTCCCACACCTGATCTGCTCTTGGCTGGTCCCAGAGCGGGGTGAGGGGGCTGATGCCCCCCCCTCCCCCAGTGTGTTGGGTGGGGTGGAATTGAGATTAGGGTGAGGGGTTAGAGTTTAGGAGGATGTGTATGTTGGGGAGGACAGTCTAGCTGATCTGCCCTACCAGGACACAGTCCCCCTGCCCCTCCCCTCTCTCTTCTTGGTCTCTACTCCCAGGGGGAGGGGGGAACTTACTCTAGGAAAAGCCATGTCTCTCTCCCCCAGGGTGGGGGGACCTGTGTGGAAGAGGGGTGTTGGGGGCCCCTTTACATGACTCTGTCCCCTGGGGGAGGTAGGACAGGGCTGGGCTACCCTCTCATCCTCCCCCTCCCCAATCTCCCTCCACTTCCCTCCCTCCCGCCAGCTCCACAATTTTTCGGTGTTTCTCTGTACATAGCTCTCTGGCGGGATAGGGGAGGTAGGATGGATGGGGTTTGGGGTGGGTAGGTCATGGAAAGGGTTATCCCCTTCTTGACACCCCCTCTTCCTTGACTGCTGTCCCCTACCCAGCCTTGCCCCCTCATCCCTTCTTGCGTTTGGTATTGAGACTCTTCACAGACTCCACCCTTCTTTCTTTTGTATGGACAGTTCACCTTCAGTCCCCTCCCCCAATCACATACACCCAGCCGGGGCCAAATTTATACTTATATAAAAGTTGTAAATATGTGAAATTTTATCCCTGTGCCCTTTCCTTGCTTTCCCAACCTCAGACTCTACACCTGGGACCCCCTTCCCTCCTCTCTTATTTGGCTGTTGTAATTATCTGGGGTTTGTACTGTACATATCTGGGGTGTGTGTGTGGGGGCTGGGGGCAACCCCTGTGTACAGAGCTTCCTGGCCCCCTCCCCCCATGCTGCCCTCCCCACCCACCACCCTAAGGGTAGGGAGATGCTCTTCCTACCCGTTTTATTTTGTTTTCTCGTTTTCCTTCCCTACCCAACCCTACTCCCAGCCTTCTCTACCCCTACCACTGTCCCTTTTGCTCCACTCCCAGCCCCATTTCCTTTTTTCTGGAGTGTGTGGTGAAACAGAAAAATCATGTTTAATAAACGGAGATTGTTCTTTTATTGCTATGCTGACTTTCCTATGCTGGGACCTCCAGAAGGACCAGCAGGGTGACAAGACCTGCTTTTTGAGAGGAGGTCGACAGTCTAGGAGAAACTATCCCTGTGTGAAGACATAGTCTCCCAGAATATCACTCTCCCACCGAGTGAGATTTATTGTTTTAGAGCAGGGGTATTAAAAAACAAAATTCGACTGAGTAAATGTAAAGATCTAATGGGCTTTATTCACTGATTCATCCCAGCCCAGCTGCAGAAAAGGGAAGGTTTTTATAGGCGGGAAAGGGTGGGGAAAGGAAATGAGTAGCTAAGAACACATTGTTGTAGGCAAGGTGGCCCTCCTAAGAGGCATGGAAGGGTCTATCAGGTGTATTACCTCATTAGTACTTCAGGTGACTCCAGGCTGACTGGTTAAAGGTTGCACTCTGGGGAGAAAGTGAAACTGCGATTAGGTTAAGCATTAAGTCTTAGTTTGCAGACATGTGCTTGGCACAAGTGACTCCATTTTGGAACTGCTGGTTTTTAACAGTTTTGTACCGACAAACACCCAGTCTACCTCTCCCCTCACCAAGGCCCCACTTAACCTCAAGTAAAGGGGCCCAGGAACAGCAGCATTATCTGATAGAAAATTTCAAATATCTATCTACAAGTATCCTTTAAAGGAAATAATTACCTGGAAATAAGGCTTAATTACTGGTTAAAATGTTCCCATGCGGAATGGCGGGAAGAAAACGGTTCCTTAGCAAATTGGATTCCAACCACAGACCCACCGCGGGCCAGCCAGAGGCAGCAGGATGGCAACACCTACCTCGCAGGGCGGGGGTAGGATATAGGGTGATGTGGACAAGGCCTATCCCACACAGCAGGTGCCCCCTTAATCTCGCCCTCTTGGCACCTATCGGGGCGCGGACTCTCCATTTAACACGAGGTGGCTCACCAGTCGCCCCTCCGCCAGCGCCGTGCTCTGCAGAGCCCACCCCGCCGTCGCGCGGCCAGCGTCGCCTCTCAGCACCGCCTTCTCGCCCACGCAGCCTATCAACACGAGGCTTGCAGGCTCCGATTGGCTGCTCTTAGCCCCGCCCGCCGCATCCGGCGTCGGCGTCAGGGGGAGGGGGCGGCTTCCGGTCCGGACGGTGCAGTCGTTACAGACTCGCTGCGGGCTGACTGGCCGGCGCTCGTGGCTTCCCGGCGGCCGCGGCTTCCCGGGAGCTGGCCCTGTGGGTAACGTAGGGGAAACGGAGCGGCAGCAGGCGCGGTCCCGGCCGGTGGGACCATTCAGGTTCGTGGCTGGAGGGCCTCCTCATCTTCCACAGGCCCTGGAAGTGAAAACCCGCGGTGGGTGTTGGTGGTTTCTGTTTTGTTGGTGGGGAGTGCGCGGGACTGATCAGGCTGAAAAGTTTCCACGTGTTGGGGGGTAGGGGAGGCAGGTGGTGTTTGAGGCGACACGGTCCCCTTATTCAGAGTTTCTGTGACCCTCGTCTCTTTCCTCCACAGCCCTGATCCGGCGTGGGGTCTACACCTGCCCTTCACTTCCTGGGATCGAACCTCTGGGATCTCTTTCCAAGGTGGCCATGGATACCTCGACATCTTTGCCTCCCATCCCCCCGTCCCCGAACTGCAACCCAGCCCCACGGACCATCCAGATTGAGTTTCCTCAGCATAGTTCATTGCTTCTGGAAGCCCTGAACCGTCACAGGCTAGAGGGAAAGTTCTGTGATGTGTCTCTCCTGGTGCAGGGCCGGGAACTTAGGGCTCACAAAGCAGTGTTGGCTGCTGCGTCTCCTTACTTTCATGACAAACTTCTTCTGGGGGATGCACCACGTCTCACCCTGCCCAGTGTCATTGAAGCTGATGCCTTCGAGGGGCTGCTCCAGCTTATTTATTCAGGGCGCCTCCGCCTACCACTGGATGCTCTCCCTGCCCACCTCCTTGTGGCCAGTGGCCTCCAGATGTGGCAAGTAGTAGATCAGTGCTCAGAGATTCTTAGAGAATTAGAAACCTCAGGTGGTGGAATTTCAACCCGTGGAGCAACCCCTTATCACACACTTCTTTCCACTACATCCTCAACAGGAGGTTGGTGCATTCGCTCTTCCTCTTTCCAGACTCCTGCACAGTCTTCTGCTTCTACCCAAAACCCCGTTGGAGGGGAGGGGAGTGAACTAGGAGATGTGTTACAGATTCAAGTTGAGGAGGAGGAGGAGGAAGATGATGATGATGATGAAGAACAGGGGTCAGCAACCCTCTCTCAAACTCCTCAACCTTCCAGAGTATCAGGGGTACCCCACCCTCACGGATCCCACCCACTGCCCATCTCTGCTACTCCCCGTAGGCTACCAGAGGATGAGAGTGCACCACTTGAACCTCCTGCCCCTCCTGCACCACCCCCAAAAATCTTCTACATTAAGCAGGAACCCTTTGAGCCTAAGGAGGACATATCAGGAGGTGGAACGCAGTCTGGAGGAGTAAAGGAGGAGACCACGGTGTTTTCTGGAGGGGACACTGAAAGGAATGAAGAGCTAGGGTTCCTGCCGCCCTCAGGAGCAGGGGCAACATCGGGAGGAGGAGGTCCATCCTGGAAACCAGTGGATCTTCATGGGAATGAAATCCTGTCTGGGGGTGGGGGACCTGGGGGAGTAGGGCAGGCTGTTCATGGGCCGGTGAAGCTAGGGGGGACACCCCCTGCAGACGGAAAATGTTTTGGTTGCTTGTGTGGGAAGCGGTTTGCAGTGAAACCAAAGCGTGACCGGCATATCATGCTGACATTCAGCCTCCGACCCTTTGGCTGTGGCATCTGCAACAAGCGCTTCAAACTGAAGCACCATCTCACAGAGCATATGAAGACTCATGCGGGAGCCCTGCATGCCTGTCCACACTGTGGTCGTCGGTTCCGAGTCCATGCCTGTTTCCTTCGCCACCGGGACCTGTGCAAAGGCCAGGGCTGGGCCACTGCTCACTGGACTTACAAGTGACTGCTGCGGTCATACACTAACTTCTAGGATGTGAGCCACTGCTGCTGATGGATACTTACCCCTCACTACCATGGCACCCCAATCATGGATCTTGTAATCATGCCACAAGGATAAATACATTATGGACCTCTTGTTTTTGGGTATGGACCTCAACCTGGCAGGTTTGGAAACAGATTTCTCATCTCACTGCAAGTTTTTACTAATCACCTTACAGGAAATTGGTTTACAGGCCATATGTAAATTGGTCACTTGCCCTGACAGAACTTTTCATACAGAAAACCAAATTTCAGATTAGAAGTTTATTTGGAGAGGAGAATTAGAACAAAGAGACATAATGATAAATGTTTCATTCGGTCTCCATGAGGAGTTAAAGGAGCTGGTCTCCATCTAGGGATATGTTTGATTTAGAGTTCTAGTAATTCAGGGACTAAGTGCTAAGCTTGTCTTTTGCTCATCACTGCTGAAATGTGAGCGGAGTTCTTTTTTATGTATTTTTCTTGTTATGTCTTTTGAGAAGCCCCTCAGATCATAACTTGTTTTCTCACCAGTAGATATCTTCCCAACACCTTTATTTTTATGTTGTAGTTGAGCACTTTAACAAATTGAGCATTCCATGTGTCATTCCTAGAACCCTCTTTAATAGAAGATATTTTCTCAATTGCCTATGCCTCTTGTCTGCTTTTGACCACCACTGATTACTCATGTATTGATCACAGTGACTGGAATGTGACCAGAGAACTCAGGAGATGGCCACTGACCTAAAATGCTTTCAAGGTAGCACCACTGCTCTGAACAAGTGTCTTTGGTCAGAGGGATTCAGGGCTGATACAACACATACTTCAGGCTAGAGAGTAACTGCGTGGTGGGACCACAGCCCTCCCTTTCCATCCCCACTCCTACATGGTAGCCACTTGGTTGAGAAATAGAGGGCAGATTTTGAAATGGGGAGATTGTCACAGGTTACTTAATCTCTTCAAATAAACTTTGCCCTGAAATTGAGAGCTGACAATGGACTAGACTGAGTAATTTATGTGGCAGGGACAGCATGAAAACAGTTGCCAAGACTTGATTGTTTTGCAGCTGGGTTAGTTATGTTGATGGGGAAAGAATGGGATAGTTTCACTCTGGTGCACAGAAAACAGTTCTGGACCTTTAGTGGGCTAGAGTCTAGGCCTGTACCTGCCATTGAATAACCTCTGGTAAGTTACCTTATCTTTCAGAGTCTGAACTGTTACTTTTGGGGGAGGGGTCGGCAGGGGGTGGTATGTAACTCCTAACTGGTTCTCTGCATTCTCTTTTTTATTTATTTTTTAATTTTTTTTATCCTCACCCAAGGACATTTTTGCATTTATCTTCAGATGGAGCGGGAGGGAGAGATGGAGAAAGAGAGAGAACCATCAGCATGAGAGAGACACATCGACTAGATGCCACCCACACAACCCCAACCGGGGCCGGGGACAACTGCAACCGAGGTACGCGCCCTTAGCGGAAACCGAACCTGGGACTCTCTGGTCCGCAGGCGATGCTCCAACCGCTGAGCCAAAACAGCCAGGGCTGCACACTCTTTTTTAAAGGGCTTAGTTCACCCTGGCTGATTTTGCTCAGTGGTTAGAGTGTGAACCCACAGACCAAAGAGTCCTGGGTTTGATTCCGATCAAGGGCATGTACCTCGGTTGTGGTTTGTCCTGGGCCCCAGTTGGGGTTGTGCGGGAGGCAACCAGTCAGTGTGTCTCTCTTCTCCCTCCCTTCGGCTCTATCTGAAGATAAATGGAAAAATATCCTCCAGTGAGCATTTAAAAATAAACAAAGGGCTTAGTTCACATGATCTTTACCTATAGTATTCTCCAACTTCATATATTTTGTATAATGTTTAGTGCAAAGCACTGTGCCAGACCCTGATTTATACTCTACCCTCGAGGAGTTCACAGCTACTACTGAAGCTAGACAAATGACAATGTAGTAGCCACAAGTTCGTGATAGTGGGCAGTACAAGCGACTGTAGTGGCACAAAGGAAGCTGAGTCGAAACCTATTATAGACAGCAGAGGTTTCTGAAAGAACTCCATGTGTCATAGTGTGGTGGATGTGGGTGGCTGAACTGATGTGAAAATGGTGACCATGAGTTCAAGTCACGACTTCAGTTCCCTAAAGCATGTTCCTCAAAAGTTACTAGGTATGGCACCTACAAGCAGCTAAAAATGTGACTTTATGGTTGAGAAGGTGAATTGTAGCTGGTATCTGTTGGTCTCTGAAAGAGCCATGCCATGGTACCAGTACACTGGGGAAGGGGTCAGGGAGTAGGCTGCAATCTTCAGTCTACTGCAGTCCCACCCACCTGCCATTCTTTTGGCACACGTTCTGTAGGTGGCTATATCCACTGGCCAGGATTCTTTGGTTGCAAGCAATAGAAACTGGCCTTGACTACTTTATCAAAACAGGAATCTATTGCCCTGGCCAGTTTGGCTCAGCAATTGGAGTGTTGGCCTGCAGACCAAAGAGTCGCAGGTTTGATTCCGGTTAAGGGCACGTACCTCGGTTGTCCCCGGCCCTGGTTGGGTCATGTGGGAGGCACCAGTTGATGTGTCTCTCACATTGATGTTTCTCTCTCTCTCTTTCCCCCTCCCACTCTATCTGAAAATAAATGGAAATCCTCGGGTGAGGATTCAAAACAAAATAAAATGAGAATCTATGAAAGGATGTGGGGTAGCTTCTGAAATGGAAGGGATGAAGGACAAGTCCTGGGTCAGATATGGGAGTCCAGGGAGCAGGAACTCCTGGGAATCTCTTCAGGTCATACGTTTTGGGACGATAACCCAGTCATTCTTATTTTTTGTGTCACTCAAGATAAAATATCCCAGATGAGAACTCTGAGCCTCAGATCCACCCTCTGGCCAGCGCACGTTGATCATATGTTTCATCAGACTAACCGAGTGGGCATGGAATCCTTGAGGGGCAACGGAAGCCCTAGATAGAATAGTAGGCAATGGTTGCTGGCCAGACCACAGGAAGAGAGACCCACCCGAAAATCTCCACACATTGTCCACCTTGGGATCCTTAAAGCCTCAGGTACACCTGGCACTTAAAAGGTATAACCTGCCCAACTTCCACCTCTGCCCTCTGAACTTAAGATAGAATTGTTTCCTCCCTCTCCTTAATCCCCAAAGCACTTTGCTATTACTCTGTAAAGCCAATTAAAACACCATGTTTGCCCTGGCCAGTTTGGCTCAGCGGTTAGAGTGTCAGCCGGCGGACTGGAGAGACCCGGGTTCGGTTTCTGCTAAGGGCACGTACCTCAGTTGGAGTTTGTCCCCGGCCCTGGTTGGGTTGTGTGGGTGGTAACCAGTGGATGTGTCTCTCTCACATTGATGTTTCTCTTTCCCTCCCTCCTTCCCGCTCTATCTGAAGATAAATGCAAAAATGTCCTTGGATGAGGATAAAAAACAAAACACCATGTTTGAGTTTTACTTTAATAGTTACTAGGTGTTGAGCCCTGGCCAGTGTGGTTCAGTTGGTTGAGCATCATGTTGTGCGCCGAGGGATTGCTGCTTTGGTTCACATCCAGCCCTGCAGGAGGTGGCCGAGATCGATGTTGCGCTCTCTCCCTCTCCCTTCCTCTCCCTCTAAAAGTCAATTTTAAAAATCTTTATTAAAAAGTTATTAGGGCCCTGGCCAGTTTGGCTCAGCGGTTAGAGCGTCAGCCTGCGGTCCAGAGAGACCCGGGTTCGGTTCCCGCTAAGGGCACGTACTATGGTTGCAGTTTGTCCCCGGCCCTGGTTGGTCGTGCGGGTGGCAGCCACTCGATGTGTCCCTTCACATCGATGTTTCTCCCTCTCTCTCCCTCCCACTCTATCTGTACAAAAAATGGAGAAATATCCTCAGGTGAGGATAAAAAAAAAAAAAAAAAAAAAAAAAAAAAAAAAAAAGTTATTAGGTATTATACAGAAAACACTTTCCATGATGAAAGAGTTTGTTTTAAGTAAACATGTACCTTTCTGCCTCTCTGCTTTGCTCCTTTAGTGGAAAAGATGTTCCCTGTCCAAGGGTCGCCCCTTCCCAGAACCTTGGCTCTTGCACTTACCCCCTCTGTCCTGTATCTTCATTCTGTATAGTTCACATTTGCAGTTAACTGTGCTCATAGAGTTGTGAGGATACATGTAAAATGCTTAGAACAGTGCTTTGCACTCAGTACACTCGATAAATGTTAGCTATTATTATGAGAGAGTATTAGTTACTCACACCTTTGCTGGGGTCAGTTCTCTCAGGGAGGGATCACTTACATAAAGGGAAAATTTCTAACTAAAAGGGGAAGGAGGCATACAGCACTCAGTAAGGATTAGATATTATCATTTTCATAAATGTTGGAGTTCTTCAAGGCTCTTTTTACCTTCTAACTATACACTCCTGGGTGATTTTTATCTTCTGAGTTAAACCTTTTAAATACTGATGACCCTTAATTTTAAATCTCCAGTATTCCTGACCCCCAGACCCACTTAGATTTCTTCTTTCCTTCAACAATAAATGTCTGCTGTGTGCTGGGCACTGACAAAAAAAGCAAAAGGCATCACAAGGGCTTGGGCCTTGGAATATCACTTTAAGAGAAATATTTAAACCAGCTATGTAGATACTTCATAGACACCTCAAGCTCAACATGTCCAAAGTGCTCTACCCCAACCTCCAGCCAGCTGTTTCTTTGCTCTTTCCAGGTTTAGTGATGGTTCTACCATCTACCCAAATGCCCAAGACCGAAACTGACAAGTGTTCTGAACAGCTGTCTCTCAGACATACCTGTTCTAGCAAACTGTTTGCAGATATTTCCAGTGGATGCATTCCTTCGTTCTCACTGCTGCTGCTAGAACCTGTTTCCTGTCTTGCTTTCCTCTAGTTTCACTCTACACACTATATGGCCAGAGTGGTCTTTCTAAAGCAAATAAGTACTGTTTCACCAGCTTTTCAGCTTAAACCTTTCATTTGCTTCCTCTTGATCTTTCATGAAGTTCAAATGATCTGGCTCTTTATTGTCTCCCCTAGGCTCTGCTCTTTCCCGGCTCCTCACACTCATCTCTCTACCTAGAATAGCTACCTACCTAGAAATAGCCCTCAACGGGACAGTTCCAACTCTTGTTGGATGTCAGCTTAAGCATCACTTCCTCTAGAAATCCACTGATCATTAGACCTCTGCTATGTGCTCTACTAGTTCTTATTTTCCCATATTTTCATTATTCAGTAAGTATTTGCCAGCTATCCACTATCCTCATTCTATGTAGATGCTGTCTTAGACGTGGCAGACATAGCTTGCTCTCACAAGATTACATTCCAGTGCTGTAAAGGAGATAAACCAGGTAGTAAGATGTGGAATATCAGAAAAGAAAGGCATAATGAGCCCATTGATCTAGTATCCGAAGGAAAAGAAAGACCCAGAGATGCAAAGCAGGGCAAGGAAGGTGTTCCAGTAAAGTGTTTAGCAGATGCAAAGGTCAAGCAAGAGGAAGGGGTTGGTGTTTGGCAAGGAGACCAATGGACCTGGAGAGGAATGAGCTGTCTCACTCTGTTTGGACTGCTTCCACAGAACCCCATAGACCGTGTGGGTTATAAACAACAGACATTTTATCTCACAGTTCTGGAGGCTGCGAAGTCCAAGATCAAGCACCAGCAGATTCTCTGTTGTGAGGACCTGCACCGTGGTTCACAGACCGTCATCTTCTCTCTGTATCCTCACATGGCAGAAAGGGAAAGGGAGCTCTCTGGGGTACCTTTTATAAGGGCACTATCCCATTCATGACCCAATCACTTTCCAAAGGCACCACCTCCTAATACTATCACATTGGATGTTAGGAATTCGACATAAATTGGGGGTGGGGATGGCAGGTACAAACATTAAATCCATTGCAGATATGACTGAGGAGCTAGGCTGGGGCTGGGTTATCTAAGGCCCTTCAGATTGTGATGAGGAATTTCTGCTGTTGTTAATCCTCACTCGATATTTTTCCCACTGATTTTTAAAGAGAGTGGAAGAGGCTCTCTACCATGGGAGAATATAAGAAGTCAGCAGTCTGTA